AAACCCTTTGGAAACCCTTTGGAAACTTTTTAGAAACCCTTTGGAAACCCGGTTTCAGGAGTTTGAAACCCTTTGGAAACCCTTTTGAAACCCGGTTTCACTCAAATTGCCATGTTTCATAAGACGTGTTTTCGTATGGAGGGTCACAATTTATTTTCCCAGATTCGTTCAACAAATAATTACCTTTCCTGTGGGTTTCTCTTTTGTCTTTGGCCTTTGGGTCTCTTGTCTTCCTTTTTTTTTGCAGGTTCACTGGATTGCGTAGCTTCTGAGATCTGAAAAGGGAAGTCAAAATTTGTATTAATATCAAATATGCAGGGTTTGTGAAAAAATCAGTTCAGAACAAACAGTACGCGCATTTACAGCAAAAGTTGACGCAAAAAAATTTGCCAACACTTAATCAGATCTCACAGCAGTAAACTTGTCTTTGATGGTGGCGAGCCACAAAAGTTTTCTCTTACTTTGATTACTGAGCTGTCTCAATCTATCATCATTTCTTCTTTACCAAAAAGGATGGTTTAAGCAAGTTTATCGCAAATTAAGACAGGTTGAGACTCACCAGTTTTCATTTTGCTCAACATGGCTGTGGTCATCTTTAGAAGACTCAGGCTTGTTCTCATCATTTACGGGGTAGCTGCTTAAAACAGCAGTGTATTTCTTTTTGGTTTTCCCCCAGATTACCCATACTTTTTTACCTTGTTTGATCGGCGATGGATCAACTATAGCAGTATGAAAGACGTCTGAATAACGTCATCGACTCCAGTTTACGTGTGCGATTTGTCTACTCATTTTAACGGTGGTGATTGTGGAAAGCAAGTGTTTATTGACTAGGGCAAGGATTGCAACCTTTTTATAACAAAACACAAGCTCCAGTTGGATCGAAAATCCTGCAAATTGATTGGCTTTTGCATCAACTGTTATAAGAATCCAATTGTTATTCAAATGTAATCAAAAACAACACATCAACTATTGTTGTACAGGCTGTTGGTCTATGATATACGTGTCGCCCTCTCGTTAAAAATACCTTTTCGTTTAAGGTGCTGTGAAATTTGTGCATACTTTTCCACTCATACCACAAATTTACAATTAACATTTTTCAACAAGCAGATCGATTTCCAAGTCTTTTTCATCATTCACTCAAAAGTGTGCGGTGGGCGTGCACATTGCACTTGAATGATTTCACACATTATTGTTTATTAGTCCATTTGATTGAAACAATGCTACAGTGCTTTTGATTAAGCGTGGCTTAATCAAAAGCTAAATTTTGAGTTGCAAAAAGATTTCTAAAGTGTGTTCGCTCATAATTTGGCAATGTTTACAATTTTTTTCTTACCGCTAATGATCTCAAATCTGTTTCTGAAAACTTTCCTTTTCTTCTCAGCCGAACCACAATCACAACAGCCAAATTAGTATGGCAAATATGATGTATGCTTATTTACTACTATGACAAAAGGGAAAGAACACTGCAAATGCACATGCTTTAGTGCAACCTAAGGGCATGCGTGTGGCATTCTTTTTCTTTTTACCAAAAAGCACTTTGAATAGAAAAAATAGAGATTCTGTCATTTTTGATTGTTTTTGCATCTACTGTGATCTATTGTGTCTTTTAAGTGAGCCGCGGATGGTTTTTAACTTCATTTCTGCATTATTTAGTCATTTCATGTATTTGAAGAAATAATAACAATGTTATTTTGCACGTTTCTCTGTGTCAATAGTAATTTGATCTTTAAGAATTATTCCCACTTCGAATGTTTTCAAATCTGTTTTTGGAAACTTACTATTTCTTTTCAGCTGAACAAGATGTTTCTGATTTACACACATGAACAGTCAGAAATAAAACCCTGACATCAGTCAGCAGTAAAATATACAGTTCAATTGTTAATAATCCCAAGCCGATGAAATTACGTCAAGTTTCATCTGCACTTAAGTAAACAGCCAGATTAATAAGGAAGTTTGCAGTGATGTGAATCTATTATTATTTTTGTCACTATTCTTACTTGGGCTAGGATAACAAAAGGGGTGGGAATAGGGGAGAGAACTTTGCATGAAAATCAAAGTTCTGATCCGAAAAAAGTAGTCTTTTTTATTGGCCATTGACTTTTCTCAGATTTGGTTGCTCCTAAAGGAGCTGTTTTTATTCTGAAAGCTTATTTAAAACGTTCAATACTAGGTTGCACCACCACGCACCATGACAGCAGCTGGAACAGCCTACCGAAGGACATGATCGATATACACGTAACGCCCGCAATTGGCTCTATCCATCCTTTTGTTCCAAAATTTTTGAATGCCGTCAATGAGTTCTTCTTTTGTTCAGGGCTTGACTTTTGACTCAAGGTACAACTTCAGTTCATGCCAAACGTTCTCAATTGGATTGAGGTCTGGGCTTTCGGGAGGGGTTGGCCACCAGTCGATGCCATGCTCATCAAAATAGGCCTGGGCAAATCTCGAGGTGTGTTTGGGATCATTGTGCAGCATAAAACTATAGTTTGGCAAAGTCTCATTGATGAATGCAGCCAGATTAAGTTCCTTGATTAGCTGGACATTTGTGATCATGGTTGGTCACTTTGTCTATTCAGACCAAGATTATAAAGTCAGCTGACAGACACAGTGCTGGTTGCCATAAAGGTTGACTTGCAATTGTAACAACCAATAGTCACTTCTCATTTAGAACAACATCATCCTTGGTGACATTTTCCAAGGGGGCATTCACATTGAACTTCTCCTGTTTTAAAAGGGTACTTGCAATAGCACGGATGTGAGAAGTTTTGTCTTTGTTCCTGAGCAGTTTCAGATTAAGAGTTTTAGCAATTGGTCTTAGGTCCTTAATGAGGTGAACATCATTGATGGTTCTGTCCAGCCATACCAAGATAATGGTTTCTGCTGATGATAAAGTGAGTTCTGAAACACAGAAAAGATAATTTTAAGTTAGTTAAAAGTAAATCCCAGTTTGCCAACCACTTCCTACAGTGTTATTTCTTACTGCAATAAGTAACATAGGCACGCAAGGTGTGCAAGAGTTATTTTTTTTGTGAAGTGCCGGAGATAGGAGCATTCATGGAGCTGTTTACAGTAATGATTTGGTAAATCTGACAAGTTTTTTTGGTTGCGATGTACAGAAAGAAAGAAACTGGGAATTTATGATGTACATATGATGTTACATCAGTAATGGTAAGATAGCTAAATAGTAAGCCATAAAATGTTTCAACAAACTACAGTAATCTGACACGTCTCCAGATTAGTGTAGATACCATCTTTTTCTCTTCTTTGATTCGTTCTTTGATAAACCCACAGTGATTGGTGTGACAGGTGCACATGCATAACTCCCTCACTCACCCATCACATAGCCCTTCCAACCCCCAAGAGGAATTTTTGCTCAAAAATACTCAAGAGACCTTTTCGCATTTTATGAGTCGTAAGCTTACCCTTTTTACACAACACAACACTACTTCACCGAAAATAGAAAGAAAGAGAAAAAAAAAACCTCTCTGACTCATTGAAAGTCTGATTTAATTAAATTGCACTTTAACTTGGTGCCACGCAGTCTTCAAAGAACATTTGAGAGTTTTGATACTTTTTACCTT